CCCGCACTCCAGACGGGGGACGGCCATCGCCCAGGCAGGCCTGGGAGACGGGGCAGAGCCGGCTGTGACCAGTAACCTGCATGGACCGCTGGACTATCTGGGACGGTGTCAGTGGCCAGTCCAAGGCCCTCTGTGGCCGCGTCCACCTCTCACTGTCTCTTTCATGCAGAGCCTCACACATCAGCCCCACTGCCCCCCCCACCCCGTACAAATTTGTAAAGGCTCAGACTCACAGGGCACCACGTCCACATGTGGGCACACGCACCCACACACAAGTGCGGGCCTCTTCTGCCACACCCGCACGTACACGTCTTCATCACTGCAAATAGCTACGGGGCATTCACAGTGTGTCAGGCACCATGTGAGCACGTGACGTGGATTCCTGAGTCTCTCGACGACTATATGGATCCCATTTTGCCAGCAAAGAAACCGAGGCTCAGAAAACTGTGGCAATTTACCTGAGGTTACCCAGCAGTCAGAAGAAGTGAGAATTAAATTCCAGTTCTCTCTGGCTCCAGGGTTAAGGATTACACTGCGTAGGTAGGGACTTGAGCCAGGGTGGGGGGGGGCATGGTGGAGTAGTCCCATTTGCCAGGGGAGGGGACAATACCTGAGCTTACAAGGCTAGAAGAGGAGGGCAGAGCTTCCTACTGGGCACTGGGCTCACAGGGCTGACCCCAGGACACCCTGATCCCTGGGATGCTGCCCAGAGCACATGCCTTTAGGGCGCAAAGTCCTCAAGATTTGGATTTGGATCCAGCTTCACCTGCTCTACTCCTTGCTGTGTCACCTTAAAAAAGTGTCTCCCAGCCCGGCGTGGTGGCGCACGCCTATCACCCCAGGGACTCGGGAGGCTGAGGCAGGAGGATCAGAGACTTCAAAGCCAGCCTCAGCAACGTAGCAAGTCACTTAGCAACTCAGCGAGACCCCATCTCTAAATAGAATATGAAAAGTGGCTGCAGATGTGACTCAGTGGTTAAGTGCCCCTGGGTTCAATCCCCGGTACCAAAAAAAGAAAAGGGTCTCTCCCTTTGAGCCTAAGTGTGCTCTCGTCTGACGTAAAGAGCACAGGATCTGTTTCTGAAGTTGGATGTGAAGGTACAGTAGGATAAGCACAGCCACCTGGCCTGGATCAGGAATGTTTTAAATTGTTGATGGACCTTTGTTTTATTCATTCATATGCGGAGCTGAGCGTCGAACCCAGGGCCTCACACATGCCAGGCAAGCGCTCTGCCACGGAGCCCCAGCCCAGCCCCCTGGATTAGGACTTTATGAACAATGGTAATAAGTGACAGATAATCCACATGTGCACAATCCTATGGTGGTAAAAGGACAATAAGAACGTGCGTGATTCGTACCTCCCATGACTCTCAGGCACGGGCCCCAGGATTTCAGGGAGGAGAAGACAGACCTGGGAAGGGAGCCCACCTGCTTCAGGACACCACCTGGGACTGAGGGGACCTGTGCTTGAAGCCAGGCAGGAGGGAGGAAAGTCACCAGCCACCTGCTCGTCCCTCCCAGGCCGGGCCCTACCTGTGCACCAGGAAACCCCACCACAGGAGCCCTGGTGGCCCGGTCAGCAGGAGGGGGCAGGAGGGAAGGCGGGAGGCCCAGGTGGACCCCTGGGAGGCCAGGAAGCCCTCTGCTGAGCTCCAAGCTAGAACAAGACGTCACCTGGCCTGGGGGTAAGAGGAGCAGGGAGGACAGGAGGGTAGATGACCCCTGGGGGGACTGTGGGGCCCAGAGGACCACAGTGTGAGCCCCACGTCTGCACCTTGTGGCTCTGACCGTGGACCTCCCTTCCCGTGGGGTCTTCGTTTCCTCCTGGGGACTAATGAGGCTTCACCTGTGGGTCTTAAAGGGGTCATGATGCAGATGGCTCGGGTCAGCGCCCAGCAGGCCACGGGGGCTCAGTAAGCTGGAACAAAGCGTCCCCTCCTGTTCTGTCCTCCCTCTCCTCCCCACCGCCACCCCGTGTCGGGGGCAATGCCCAGGGAAGCCACAATGGGACTCGGGGGGTAGTTGTCTCTGCATTTGTCGAGGTTCCCTGACCCCAGAGATCTCGAAACCCAACCCTCCCTCTGCTCCCAGCCGCTGAGAGGTTGGGAGCTTCCCTACGTCCCCAGAAACCACCCAGGTCCAAGACCAGGGCCTAGAGAGGAGAAGGACGGCCTCCCTTCCCAAGTCATGTCCTCCTCCACGGCTCCCTGAAGAGTCCCCTGGCCCCTGGTTATCTGAATGTCCCACAGGTAGATAGCCACAGGGCGTAGGGGACTGAGGCCCTGGGAGGGGAGACAGCTTGCCCAGTGTCACGGTTTAGATGTCCCCAGAAGGTCGTGTGTGAGACGAGACCAGAGAGCACAGAGGTGACGTGATGGGGTCAGGAGAGCCTTGCCCTGGTCAGTGCGTGGGTCTTCCCGTAGGGACCCCCTGGTCCAGCTGCGGGCAGGCCGGGCAGGGCTGGCGGAGGCCTGTGGCTGGGGTGTGCCTCTGGATACATTTTGTCCTGGCGAGTGGAGCTCGCTCTCTGCTTCCTGACGGCCCTGTCCTGAGATGTTCTCCTCTGCCGTGATGTTTGGCCTCATCTTGGGACCAGAGAAAGGAAGCCGTGAGCCCAGATCGACCTTTACTCTCCCACACAGTCCTTACCAGGTCTTTGGGTCACAGCAGTGACAACGCTGACTCAAACTCCAAGGCCAGCCTCTTCTGCACCCTCCTCCTCTCCTAATCCCCACCAAGCCTCAGGCCCAGAGACCCAGCAGGAGGTATCCTCCGGTGGAGGAGTGTGGGGACCCAGGTGCCCCATGCTGACCGGGTTTGCCCGAGGACCCAGCCAGCACACGCTGGGACCTGCCCCGGGCTCCCGATCCCAGGGAGGAGGTTCATGGTTAACCCGAGCTTCAGGTCCCAGCTGCTGGGTGAGCTCAGGCAGGTGACCTAGTGCCCTCTACCCGGTTCCTCAACCACAGAAGGGCAGCGGTGAGGACTGACTGAGCCCTTCCTCCTCCGCGGCTGTCGGGGCCGCTTCGCGAGCTGGAGGGCCACAGCGCGGCTTCCCTGTGGGGTTCAGAGGAGCACATGGTCAGGGAGAGGAACGCCCACTCCCACCCCAGGCTTCCCCCAGCCCCACAGCTCCAGGGTCATGGCCATACCAGGAGCTGACCATCATGTGGAGGTCCCAGGGAATTCCACACCAGAGCCAGTGCGTGTCGGGGAGAGGGGGGACCCAGGTGGGGTCCCTGCCCTGCATCTGCCCCCTCCAGACCCAAGCCCGGCACCACCGTTTTCCCCCAGCGACGGGAGAATGCTCCTCCGTGGCGTCTTAGCACGTCCTGACGACTTTGTCAATGTCACCTGCAAATTTACCCTAACTTACTGCCAGATCTCGAGCCCCCAAGTCTCCCAGGGGCTGCTTGATGATAGAACCCAATATTTAGGGTCAGACGGGCCTGGGTTCAAATGACCTTCTGCAAGTCACCCAACCTCGCCCACTACGTGGTCCTCATCGACAAAACGGGGCCAGAGAGACTCAGTGGGATTCCGTAGCTCAGTGCCGGCCACACTGCAGGTGACCGCACCCCAAGGTGCACCTGGCCAGCAGGGGTGACCATGGCTGGTTCTGTGTTTCCAGGGGGAACTGGGGCTGGGCCTCCACGGGCGGCAGCAGCATCCTGGCCGAGTGTGGGTCTCTGCATCTCGAGTTCCTGCACCTCACCGAGCTCTCTGGCAACCAGATCTTCGCAGAAAAGGCAAGTTGCCCCTCTCCCCCCAAGACAGCACCCCCTCTTCTGCCCGCAGAGAGCAGAGGCCAGTGCCAGGAAGGAGCTGTGCCCTGAAACGTGCCGGCTTGGGGACAAATCTCTGAACTGTGCGACCTGGAGAAAGTACAGCGGGAACCCGGGCTCGGCCGCGCCTCGGCAGGAGCTGGCCACTGGCGCACTGCCCCCTCTCCAGGGACGCTTAGCTTTTCCCAGTGCGATCCTCTGCTCCCCCTCCCAGACGCCCAGCTGGCTCTCACTGACAGCAGCTGGCAAGAGGTTCCTGTCCCCAGCCGACGCCCACGGTGTCCCTCCTCACAGCTCTCAGCTCTCCAAGGCCACAGGGTATTGAGAGGTAGCATCCTGGCCAGCGTCCAATCCTGACAGTGACCCACACCTGGCCCTTGGGGAGAGCCCTCAGGAGGGATCCTTCTTCATTGCTGCAGTCCCCACTGGAAGTGCCCCTGTAGGTCTGACCCTATACCCAAAGAAGAAAAGTGGGCACGTACACACACTCAAGTGGCACTCAGGCTGTGACAGCTCTGACCCCTTCTGAGTCCCCCTGGGAGATGGAAGCCCTGCCTGCCAGAGTCCTCCAAAGTCCTCAAGGATGGCCTTTTGGGGCCCCCCCACTCCCCAAACCTCTAGAATGTCAGCCTAGTACACTGGCAAGGGGATGGGAGGTGACAGAGTGGCACTTCTCCCTGGTGGCTTTCAGGGTGGAGTCACCAGCTGGCCTCAGAGCATCACCTGGCGCTGGAGTCGGCATGGAAACCCACGCCCATGCGCTCCTGGATGCCAGGTTGGGGACCACTGCTGACTCAGCGTGTCCTGGAGAGGGGGGAGGGGAGCCTCTCAACCCCTTGATGGCTGCCTGTGACCGGCACTCACCACCACCCTTAACCCACCTGCTGCCGTCAGAGACGCGCTCCTCCTGTTGAGCCCATCTGCCAGGAGGGCCCTTGAGCGCTCCTGGGATGCACCCAATCCCATCCCGAGGCTCTGACTTCCCGATCCTTGTCCCACCTCGGGGCCTAGCTCCAGCCTCCCCGCTCCCAGTGCCCTTGAGCCAGGCTCCTCCAGGAAGATCTGACAGCTCGGGAGGAGCGGAGACAGGAGCTCACGCTGGTTGGGACCCTCTGGGGTAATTGCTCCAGTGCCTGAGCACCTGCGGTGTGCAGGGCAGCTGTGCCCCCTGTGATCCCCTCAGGAGCCCTGGGAGGGAGATCTCTGCACTACCCCCATTTTACAGAGGAGGAAGCTGAGGCTCAGAGAGGCTCCGTAATGCACCCAGGGCCACCAGCTGGTGAGCAATGAAGCTGGGATACCAGCCCGGGACGGCGGGCTCTTTCTGCACCTGCTGAGTGCAGCAGGCTGTGGGCTCTTCCTCGGGGTCCATCTGTCTGTCTCTTCTCCCTACATTTGCCTACTCTGGCTATTTTCATCCCCAGTCACACCCTCCCACAGAGGCAACTATTTGGCAGTCAACAAATTGGCCCAAATTCTAGAAGCACCCATACCCTCCAGGGGAGCTAATTTAGCCTGTTTCTCTGCTCACCCCCAAGACAGTCGAGAATAACTGGGGTAGTGCACCTCCCTGTCCCCCACAATGGGCTCCATTAACATAAATGGACATGAAATCTGATGCGGCAAAGCCAAGTGCTGTCCCCCACCGCCCCCCCACACACACACTGGGGAAGAACCGTCTGCAGCTAAAAGGCTTCTCCCTGGCTCCACACCGTCTGGATTAATCTATTAGCAGGCCCCAGTGTGGTCCCTGAGGGTCTTTCTCTCCCAGAGGACCTTGTGCTGGGTGGGACTTAGAGCCCTGCCAGGGAGCAGCCACCAGGAAGAAAGTCCTGAATTCCGCCTGTCACCCTTGCCCTGCACAGCCCCAAAGGCTGAGCCAGCCCCCGCCCCCTGCAGCTGGGGCAGCCTCGGCCGGGTGTGGCTGTGTAGTCACCATCCCCGTCCATCTTGGACTCAGCCGCTGCTCCCTGGAGCACAAGGACGTACAGTCAGTGGGGACAGACAGACGGACTAGTGTCCTGGCTCAGCAACCTGAGACCCACTGGCCTTTGGCACATCACCGAGCCTCTCTGAGACTCAGGTTTCTTGTCATTACACGGGGATAACGATATCTTGTAGGTGGCTCTGAGCGGGAGACGGTGTCCATACTGGGTCTGTCTGTCTGTCTTAACAGAGTGGAGAAACAGATGCTGTTATTATTCTCGACACTGTGAAAACCCTCAACTGCCAGTTAGGGTGCAGGGGACTCAGGAGTCCAGGCCTTTCCCCGAAACGAGTCCTGAGGTATTAGATACCCTCACTTGTTAGCTAAGCTTTTTTTTTTTTTTGCGATACTTATTAAACCCAGCGATTCTCAACCGCTGATTCTCAACCAGTGATTCTCAACCCCTGAGCCACACCCCCAGCCCTTTTCAGTTTTTATTCGGAGACAGGGTTTCTCTAAGGTGCTCAGGCTGGCCTCAAACTCCACCCTCCTGAGTCTCTGGCGTTACAGGTCTGTGCCACTGTGCCCAACTGTGTCCCATTTTGTCTATGTGTGGGGGCAGGGGATTAAACCCTGAGCACCCCTTAGCTCCGATCACCTGTATATCCTTAAGTTGCTGATGGGCTTTTATTCTATTCATTGATTTATATGCAGTGCTGAGAATCGCACCCAGGGCCTCACACACGCGGGGCAGGGGCTCTACCGCCGAGCCACCACCTCAGCAACCCCTGGTCCTTTGGAATGGTTTAATTTGGAGACCGTCTTGCGGAGTTGCCAAGGCTGGCTTCACACTTGGACTCCTCCTGCCTCCGCCTCCCGAATGGCTGGGATCACTGGCGTGAGCCGCCCCACCTGGCCCTGGACTTTTTTTCTTTTTCTTAATACTTTTTAGTTGTAGATGGACACAATCTCTTTATTTTTCATTTGTTTATTTTTATGCCGTGCTGAGGCTCGAACCCAGGGCCTCATGAGTGCGAGGCAGGTGCTCTACCACGGGGCCCCAGCCCTGCTCTGGCCCTTGACTTTTTAAACTTCACCTGCGCATTATTCCTGGGGGGAGAGAGAGGACTGAAAATGTACTCTCTTGGGGATTTACACAAACACGACACATTGTCACTGAACAGCAGAGCCCTTGGACTCATCCCTCCTGTACCGTCCGTGTCCTCTGACCAGCGTCTCCACCCCCCACCTCCAGCCCATGGTCCCTGTGACTGCTGTTGGATGCTACTTCCTCACTACAGCAGCAGCCGGGGAGGGGCAGGCGGTGGCCTGTGCAGTCTGGGGACAGGTGGTGGATCGGGCCCCCCGTGGCCGTGTCCTGCCGTGGTCTGCCCCTGGGCACAGGTCCAGGCCATGGCCACCTCTGGGCACCTCTCCTTCGTGCCTCGCTGGAATGGTCTCCCCCGAGTCTGCAGCTGCCTCCCTTCCCCGCTGGGCGGGGGTCAGGCAGCTTCGGGAGGGTGAAGCGGTGCCGTGTCCGTCCTCGCAGGTCAGGAGGATCCGCAGGGTGCTCAGGGACATGAAGAAGCCCTACGGCCTGTACCCCAACTTCCTCAGCCCCGTGACCGGGACCTGGGAGCAACGTGAGTACAGAGACGCCGCGGCTCCCCCACCCACCTCCAGGGCCAGGACCCAATGTGTGGCCACGAGAGAAATTCACGGTGACCCCGTCCCCCGCCGGGCATGTGCTCGGGGCCACCTGCGGAAGCTGAGTGGGCTGGGGAGGACGCTAGGGTGAGGGCGTGGGGGCGAGCCTCTGCGTGATGCGTCCCTTTGAGGAGCCTGGCTCTGGGAGGAGCAGGCCACGGCCCCAGTGTGCCCTCTTGACCAAGGCCCCGTCCCATGGTCACCGTCAGCACGAAGGGATGGCAGCAGGTTCCGTGGGCACTGCCTCCGGGGCCTTCCCCAGACCTGCCCAGAGGCCCCACCTCCACTGTCTGCCCCACAGTGAACCCTCTCCATGTCCCCAGCCTCCAGCCCTGGCTGTGTGGCAGGGGCTCAGGGCAAAGCAGACCTGAGCCTCAGCGTGTGGCCTGGGAGAGCGCACCTCAGGGAGAAGACTCCTGTGGGCCAGGAAGGGAGGGGCCGGGAGGCCGGTTCCGTTCAGCCCTCCAGAGGTGACTCAGGTTGTCCCAGAGCCAGTGATGCACGCAGGGCCTGTGGGGACAGGGACAAGGACTCGCGGGAAAACACAGAGGCTTTTCCTTCCCACCCGAGCCTCTACCGTCTGCAGGTCTGGGAGGCCCAGAAAATTCCACCCAAGAATTTCCCCCAGTGATGGCTTCACCCCAAGTGGACTCCTCCCCTCCCCCCCCACACACACAAAATACAGAAATGCAAAGTATTCTCACCCCAAATGCCCTGCCAAATCCCAAAGCGAAGAGAGGAGAGGAAGGCCTGAGTTACAGAGTGCGCGAAGAGACCAAGGAGAACTGCGAACCTGGCTGGGCCTGGGGAGGCCGAGGCAGGAGGATGGCAAGTGCGAGGCCAGCCTGGCTCGGCAGCCAGGTCCTGTCTCAAAACATAAAAATGGCCGGGAACACAGCTCAGGGGTAGAGTGCTTCCCGGCCTGTGTGAGGCTCTGCTCAATAAATAAACAAAAAGAACCAAGAACCGCTTCTCCTTGCAAGGGTAGAGCCGGCCTCCCCAGGCAGGCAGCAAACCCCGCGGGGAGAGGTGAGGCCGCGGCCTCCCTGCCTACCCTTTCCCTCCGCAAATTAGAGGGGACCCCCACACACACCCCAGAGGGGCATGATTTTATTTTCTGCCTGTGCCAGGGGCCGCGGAGCGGGGCACAGTCGCTCCCATATGGGAAATTGCTTCACATTAATAAAGTATGAGCCGGCGACGGCTGAAGAGCAGAGGGGAGGTCACCAGCCCTGCTGAGCCGGCGCCGGCCTCCTCCTCGCCCAGCCTCTGCGCCGGGATCATCTCAGGGCCTCTGGGGGTTGTGTGGGATTCTTCTGAATCCCACAAACAGATGATCACAGCCCCACCTCCATGAGGTGAAGGCACTCCGCTAGTCCTCGGGTCAGCCCAGGCAGCAGGGTGAGAGCTGTGCATCCATTTGCAACCACAGGAATGGGGGGGCAGGGCTGCAGCGGCCCAGCTGCCCACCCCCAGGCTGCTCGCTGCCCCTGGTAACGGGGGAGGCCCAAGAGCCTCCTGCTAAGCCCCCATGAACCCCTGGCTCCCGGCAGCCCCAGGCCCCGCCGAGACCAGGCCGCGACTCCTTAGAGCCCAGAGAACCGTAAGGAGAGGTCCGCAGCCCCTCAGCCGGGCCCCTGGCTGCCGAACCCCAGGCTTCCTTCACGGGGGGCCCTGGGAGGCCCGGGCCTCGGAGTCTGAGTGCCTGTCGGCTCCGCCTGGCCGCTTCCCAGCTCCATGCTGCGGAGCCCTGGGCCTGTGGCCCTGCCTCCTGCCACCAGGTGTGATGAGAGTGTGACAAGGTCAGGAACCAGTGACGGACCTCCTGGTGAGAGCTGTCCACCTGGGCCAAGTCCACCTGCAAGGTGACTGTCACACTCCCGGAGAGCCCTGTCTCCAACACCATGAGACCCCGTGGCCGGGCTCCCCTCTCCTGCAGACCCCAGATGGGAACCTGGACCTAGTGACACCCAAGCTGCACCGAGCAGCTGAGGGAGTCAGCCAGCACGGAGGAGAAGGAGAGCACCAGCCGAGGCCAGGGGCCCGCCCGGTGTGGCCTGCGGCCTTCCCCACGTCT